ATTCTTGTTTGTTGTAATCGGTACAACATTCAGAAAAATTCAGAACATTCGAACCTTCCTTTCTTGTGTCCAGTCATTTTTTCCACTGAGTTTGATTTTTGTTAACGTTGTGACAGTATCTTATTGCAATATACCTGAGTTACCTAACGGCTTTATATTTATGTGTAAATATGAAAAATCAGTTATATTATTAAGGGAATTTGGTAACTAATGATGCTCAGACAGATTTCTGGAATGTAGTATGTTAACAGTGAAACCATCATTACTAGCCATCTGTGCCATGAAGCTTTTAGTGTAACAATGTGATCTTAAAGTCAGAAGTGAGATGTCAGACAATTAACATGCTTCAATTTTATTTCGTTACTTTTGAAATCTGTTTCACTTGTTGATCTTCAGTTTCATGCTGTTGCCATCTCTAACTCTTAATTAACGGGTTTTAATGCAGAGAGTTTTAGGTGATTCTCATGATTTGGACAAATTTCCTGCGTTAAAAATAGAGCTTAGCATGCGTCAGCCACTTTGCCTGCTGGGTGATTGAGCTTCAGCTATGTTAAAATTTGAGTTGTCAAATTCAGTCTGAAATTGTATATTTTCTGTGAGTACAGAATTACTCGGCTTGACATCATGATGTTTAAAAATTCAGTATTTTTATCTTTCCTCTAAAATTATGCCTTTTTTTTTTATCTCCCCGCAGCATATATTGGAAGTTTAGACATAGAAATCAGCACCTGGGCTAATCAATTTTTTCTGGTAAATATTTGCAAAGCTTTTTTCTGGATTTGAAAGGTTTTGTGGTTCTTTTTTTCACTTTTCAAATAAAAGGGGAGCAAATACTTCATTTCATTTTTGCTGTAACCAGAGTTCCCTTCGCTTCGTAAGGATTAGAAGCTAGATCATGTGCAGCTTAGTTTGAAAGCTGGATAAAAATGCTGCTGTGTGGGGAAAATTAGTCAGTGTTGTGAGATAATCTGAGAGACGTAACAGGATTCCCTTTTTGTGAGACAAGATATAATATATATATATATATAGAACAATGGTGCAAATTTTCCTCGGTTTTTAAGAAGCATTCAAAGGGATCGCGAGATGGTTTTGATTTTGTCTTATACTTTGTATGCTATCTACTTATCTTTTACTGTTAACTACTAGATCAAATTAACAATTTTGTTTTGTTTTGTTTTTTTTCTGTCTATAGGCATGTGAACACAGAAATAATGTTGCCTTCTTTCCAGAGTTTCTTTAAGATAGTGCATTATCTACTCTTGCCTGAATAATCTCAGTGTCGCGTTGCCATTGTTACGTGCTATCTCTGTTGTATACAAATGATTTGTGTGTCGCTTGGAGTCAGAACATTCTTGGTTGTTATTTTCTCTAGTGTTTGGTTTGATTTGTACCAAAGTCAAGTTACTTCCTCATGGGTAGGGAAAGTTAGGTTAAGTTTAGATGACTTATGAAGAGGAATTCATTTTTCTTTTGTCGTTTGTTTTGTTTGTCAGTTGTTCATTTTGGGATTTGCCTCACCAGTTGTTGATATGCAGCTTATTAATTGCACTCGCACCACCAACAGGACTATTGACTGTGGCGGAGATTACAGTCATGAATTGCCATCACCGTAAGTAATTGTTTATGGTTGTTGATCATCATAAATTCGATTTTTTTTTTTTAAATATATAGTTTGCAGATAGTTTTCACCAGTTATCAGAACCACTGTGTCCCATTTGTCACCAATCTCTCCTCAGGCTGAGTTTTCAACATGTACATCATGAGCATCTATAGACGTGTTTTTATCTAGTAATGAACGTATTCTTTAATTTGGGTGTTTCAAACATTTCAAAAAACTAAAAGTGATGACAACAAGAGTCAATTTTCTTTTTTGTTAGGAATGCAAGTCGGGGCAATTTTTTGTGGAATTCATTTATTCCAAATACAGCGGTAGGAAAAATGTTAAACAAAATGACAATGCAATCACAGTAAGAATCTTATTACTAGGTTTTTTACCAAGCTGTGGATCTTCAAATTTCTCTCATCAATGATAGATTTTTAGATGTTTCCCAAAAATATCAAAGATTCTTAAATATGTATTTGGTGAAGCTAATTGATGTCAATGTGGTGTGTGTGTGTGTGTGTGTGTAGTTCGCTATATCAAAGAAAGTTTAAAGTGTTCATTAGACAATTTGGGAACCATATTTTGCAAACTATAGGAAGAAGAGAGGTGGCAATTTATGAAACAGTAAGGCCCTGTTTAATTGTAAAAAAACTACTTTTTTTTTTAATTTGTTAGATATACGTGCATATATATATATATATATGTATATGCTTTATAGCCAAAGCATGTGTAATTATTGAAAATAGAAACATAATTTGAATAGTGATGCTGAAAAAGCTGCTTGAGTTTGAAAATAATAAAACTTTGTTCAAATTCAAGCTATATCAATAGGTCTTTACTACTAAACATGACATAAATATGTTTTTCATGTTTGATTATTCTATTAATCAAAATATGTAGTTAAAGTATTATATATTAAATAATTAAACTATATAATTTATGTGTATCTAAAAAACTATTTGAAAAGAGAAAATGATGACGCTCATAAAAAAAATTTTAAATAATCTTTCAAAGTTTAATATTGAAGTCCCTGAACATGGCACTATTTGCCAGGAATATATATATATATATATATATATGTGTGTGTATAAGAGATTATCAATGAATTAAATTCTTCTCGAAGTAGTGTTGCAATAATTTTCATGAAATTAATTTATTGCAAAAGTTTTATTGAAATGTGGAACAAAATGTTCGGTTGTTTTTCACGGTAGTTAAAGATGTATAAATTATTATTGCATGTAATTTTCTATATAAAGTAATATAATAAATCACTCAAAATATTATTATTATAATAATTTATAAAAATCATGGCACCCGAGTAATTCCCAAACACAAAACTCCTTTTAAAGCCGTATGGGAATGGTGGTGGTGTGAACAAGTAAAAAAAAAGTCTGGAAGTCATGGATTGTGGGCCCCGCATGCTATCCACTGAGATTACAAAACATGGGATGTTTGTGGACTACCCAATCAGCAACTCACGAGTGAAGGGCCCACGACAAGGAGACAGGTGGGGGACCACACCTGGTTCCCTACCCAATCATCATATGTGGACCCCACCAGTTCCCATGTTCCATGTGTTGTCGCTAACCTAATCATAGCCCCGGGGCCCACCGTCCCCCCTTCCCCCCCGAACCCCCAACGCCTTTTGCGGTTTCGCCGTGTACTATTTCACCCCGTACAAAATTTGTTCTGGCCAAGCGTAGATAGCTTGCTAAGCACCTGATCTGACACACCACATATTCAATTAATTATTGATAAATTAAATAAACCAAATAATAACAAAATTTCAGACGCCAAAGGATCAAAAACTAAAATTCATGCTCAAATCTAAATCAAGCTTTTTTTTTTTAAAAAAAAAAAAGGGTTTACAGCCATTCCATTCTCGCATTACTACCTTTGGCTGGACTCCGGAACACGAAATAAAACTTTCAACAAGTGATTTAATTCTAATTAAATTAGTCGTGACTTTTGTTTGTTAATTGTAGAAAGAGGTAATTTATATAATTAGAAAAAACATGGTGTTAATCTGTTGGGATATATTTGTGTGGATGATGAGTCATGAGTGAGGAAACGAAGTGGGTTTCCGGCTTGTTCGAGATCTTTTAGAAATTGAACCATGCATCTTCTACAACCCATGATTATGATGGAAAAAACTTTTTTCCTTTTGTTTTTTCTCTTTTGCTTTTAATTATATGCTCGGTTTTGTTATTGATTGTCTTAAGCTCCTAATCATTCTCAAATGTATCTGTTGACTGCTTTTTATATTTGGTGACAAAATATTTAGTGATCCAACCAATTGACATTATGTTAACTTGCTAAAGAAATAGCATTAATTGATGTTGTAATTACTAAGCTAATATTAATGACTACCACATTAAAATATTGTGTAAAAAAAAAAAAAAAACAGAGTAAAACACATTTTTTTAAATATAGATAAATATCTTCCTCTATTGTTCTCAATATTTCCACTACAAAATGCTATTTAGTCACACAAAGATATTTTAAGGGCTCAGCTCCTAGAACTCATGAATTTAATTCCACATCCGTTGATGATTTAATCATTTACTACATTGATAAGTTAATAATTATTTACTACATTGATCATTTAGCCAGACTTTATAAGTATAGTAACATAAACTTTATTCCTATTATAACGTTTAATTTTTCTTAATGTTGACATGGTATATGTATAATGATCCTTCCGTTTTAATATTTCACAAGTCTTTACTAATTTCATTCAAATGTATTAAATAGTATTTGTTGTTGAATCTTAAACAACTCATAAGCGAAATCATTGACCGCCAAAAATAAGGTAACATCTACGTAGTCATAAGTTTAAAAAATCACACATTTCTATCAATTTTAAAACTTGCTTCAAAAGCACAGAGAAAAAAAAAATAAAAGATGAAACTATAGAAGAAATAATTGACAGATCCGCATACACTTCATATTACTAATTCTAATGTCTCTACCTTGTGTGTCACAATCTGCCCCTGCCTTGTGTTTTTAGAACTCTCTCTCCTTTGTGCATTCTTATTTCGATGCTCCATATCTCAGTATTCATTGACTCTAAGTTCTATTAACTTACTCGTTACTTGCTCCTTTCTTCAAATGCAATACATCACATATCTCACTCTCACAATTCACTTACCATCATACTTTGTTCGATATCGTTTTTTTTTAGTTATGTCCCTCATTTATCAATCTTTCCCTACTTATTGTTTTTATAAATCTTCATTCTATATACATATATTAATTTTATTTTAAAATCAACATTATCGATATAATACAGATTAATATATTATTTTTGCGTATATTGCTCCTTCCTAATAAACAAGTGCTATTGCTACATAACACAATCCTATCATTAAAAGTAAAAAATCAATACGTTAGTTTTTTTTTTTTCTTTCATGTCATTAAAAAGTTCTCATCAATACTATTAATAATCAGATAATAAAAATTAATGCATATCTATATCGATAAAATATAAGTAATTATTTTTCCCATATTAAAAACAATACACTACAACAAAAATTTTGGTGTCCCACCATTTTTTCCTATCAACTTTGTTTTTCCTCTCTATTTACCACAGTACTAGTAGCAATCTGATGCAAAAAATATTGAATTTGAAGCAAGACGAAATAACCAAGACCAAAAGTTATATATATATATATATATGTTATACTTCAAAGAATAATATTAATTTATAACTTTATCATAGAATAAGACAATAAAAAACATCATTTAATTAAGAAGAGATGGATCTTTTTTCTTTTCAATCTTTTGGCATCAAATGTGTCGGCATCGTACTATTCAACATCATATGGCTTCTTTGGACAATCATATAATACATACATGTGTGTGTGTGTGTGGGGGTGTGTTACAATTATATTATCATGTTTGGTACAATATATCGTTTAACTTATATCTAACTTAAAATCTTCCTTACTTTCCTAAGTCTTTTTCGTCTCAACAAACATAACTCATTTACTAAATATATGATAATATTAAAAATGATGGTAATAATTAGAATCATGCAATTATATGATACATCTAAAGTTCTAGCTAGACACATAGATATATAATTGCACTTAAAAAAATAAAAACGCGTCGTGGATTATGGTTATAATAATTCGTTAGTAATCATCATATATGTATATATATATATATATATACTTGTTTATAAAAATCAAGTCTCAATTATTTATGAAATATAATTATTGTTGTTTTCCATGTTTCTTTTTTAATACTAATTTTTTACCATTAAAGTTGAAAAGAAGAAGAGTATGAATTATACATAAAGAATTGAATTATTTTCATTAATAATTATGAAATGAATGAAATTTGGTTTGGGTGTGTGCATGATATGATTATGGTTTAATCCTAATGCTAATGGTTTGTAAAGACAAAACATTACCAACGAGCCACTATTATTTTACTTTGTCTACCTACTGTCTCTATAGCCAACATATATATATATATATATATATATATATACACACACACATATACATATAGGAAACGACATATAATGCTCCATCATTTATTATTCTTATTCCTTTTAGCCTTAGATATAATTAGATTATTTATTTATTTAATATTAAGCTTGTAGATGGTAATAATAAAATATATGTATGTATATAATTCTATCCCACGAAATTGCTTTCCCATCTATTAATAATATATCCAAATTTTATTAAATAATATATATTCCACGCTCTCTCGATAATTAATAATTAATAATTTCTTTTGTATAAATCTAATAAATTAAATTAGAAAGAAATAATAATAATATATTTTTAGTGAGGAAGGGAATTAGATCATGTGGAAAAAATACGTGGGAAAATTGCATAATTAGCAACGCAACAACAGAGTAATGACAGGTTCATTGGACGAAGCACAAACTAAAGTTGCTTAATCATAAAGCAACCAAAAATCACATGAATTTTTTTTTTTTTCAAAATTTCCGAATTGCCAACATCAAAATAATCCTTTTTAATGTGTTAAATACTTTATAGTAATATTAATTTATTAAACAAATCATATAAAAAAAATTTTAAACATTTTTTTGTGTGTGTAATAATTAATTATATATATATATATATATATAAAAACAAGTGTAAATTACTTCAGGAAAAGCAGAAACTAATTAAAGTGCCTTTTGGCATCAATGTTTTTTGGACTTGTCCTGCAGATTTGCACGTCCAAGATATCTAATATAATGACATTTCCAAAAGTCAAACACGATCATTTTGGTTAGTGGGAGCCATAACATACTCACTGTACAATTACCTTAATCTCGACACACCACTAATTTTAATTACCCAAATCATCGTCGACGACGACGACCATAATACAGGAACCAGACGACTGTCTTCCTCGGGGCTTATGCTGGTTTTGATAGTAATTAATTGTATGTGCGTGGACTGAAAGATGAATGTTAAGAGTCAAGTCAAGACCAGACCAGACCCCCCTCCCCCAACGAACCCCTCCCTCCCTCCCTCCCTCAAAAATAGTCAATTCCAAGTTCCAATCAACAATTTTGCCCCAAATCTCAAAGACTTTTTCATTTCGTGTCTTGCAATTTCAGGTCAATTCCAGTGGCACACCCGGGTTGATAATTTCCCTTCATTTTTTCTCTTGGGATTAAAAATTTATTTCATTAGATGGGAATAATTTAAAAGTGGTGATTGATGCAGCAGTTTCAGAAAAACAGAAACAAAAATTTAATGAGAAGAAAATAAATAAATTAATGAGTCAAGTCCAAACTTGACATGCCCAAAATTATTGTGACCTCTATTATGCCATTTATGAAAACAAACGTTATACCTCATCAAGTATTACCCGCTGAAACTTGCATTCAATTCCAATTTATCCATTAATACTCGTGTCACCACCGCAATACTATATTATAAATATTTTAATTATTTCTTATCCTTACGTCACTGTTCGCATGTAAATAATATTGTTCAAAGTTTTCAAGGGTAGAAACTGAAGGAGTAAATGCTCGGTGAGGTGAGGAAGGGGGAGGCTCAATGCCCCGGTCTACACTCCCAATCATTTCACAACCTCTCCACATGAAAACCTGCCGGTTATTCTCCTAAACCCATCGTCCTTGACACGTGTCCACAATCAGACGGCTTGGACCCTTTGACTTGACGACCACAGTCGTACTCTCTCTCTCTCTTGCAACTAGTTGTTTGTATATAATATTTATTATTAATTTCCCCTCCTCCCTCCTATGTTGACCCTTATTTATATCCCCTCACCTTTTATTTTTCTTACTCCATTTTCATATTCTTCTCCTCTTTCTCCCATTTGCCTCTCCTCTCTTCTCCTCTTCTTTTTCTTTTTTCTCTTTTTTTTTTTTTTTTTTTTTTTTCCTGGGTTTCATCTCTTTAACTTTACCTTTTCTCCTCCTAAAAAAATACAATCGTTAATCTGGTTTCTTGCTGGTTTGATCTTCTTCTTCTCCTCCTCCTGCTACTTTCATGGCGGTTTTACCCACAAATTCATCAAGCCTGGAGCTCACAATATCTGTTCCTGGGTTCGCTTCATCTCCTCCTCTCCCTTCGTGTGGTAAGCAATAAAACGACACCGTACTCCTACTCTTCCTCTTTCTCCTCTCCGTCTCTTTGCAGTTTTTTTTTTTTTTTTTTTTTTTTTTTTGGCTTTTAAAATTTATGGGCCTTAATTTATGATCTGAAAAACGAGCTTAATTAAAACTTCTACATAGTTAGACACGATCAGATCCTTTTCATCTGATATCAGTGTTTCAGTATGTATCTCTTCGAGGTATATATGATCTCTGCACCCAGATTTCTTGCATGGCTTATATGAATACGGGGTTTTCTTCTCGTAATTTGTCGAAAATTTTTTCACCTTTGAAGATAATAATTACCCTCATGGGTTGCCTGTATATTGTAATTGATCCGATTCAGTTACCTGCATGTTTTCTTTTTTTTTTTTTTTTAAATACGAAAAAGGACTTTGTAAACAAAGTTACTAAGATGAAGGGGGATTATTGTGCAGTGAAAGAGTTGGACATAAACCAAGTGCCGTCGGGAGAAGAGGAATGGACCGCTGGTGCAACCGTGGAAGAAGAAGAAGAAAGCAGCAATGGAGGGCCTCCGCGCAAGAAACTCCGTCTCACCAAAGAGCAGTCTCGTCTTCTTGAAGAAAGCTTCAGACAAAACCATACCTTAAATCCTGTAAAAGCCCCACCTTCTCTCTTCAATCGTATATATATATACATATATTGATATACATGCACATATATAATATATGCACATCATGTAGATTGTTTAGAGATCATCCATATGGAATTTTAAGCATGTTGGGATTTTTGTGATTGATGAAATTGCAGAAGCAAAAAGAGACACTTGCAACGCAGTTGAAGCTAAGGCCGAGGCAAGTTGAGGTGTGGTTTCAAAATCGAAGGGCCAGGTATTACAAAAAAAAAAAAAAAATCTATATATTATATATGCTCTACATATTAATGAATGGAAGTATAGAGATATATGCGTTGTTGAATAGGAAGTTTCATTAAATTTAGGTCATTGATAATTATTTTGTTGGTTGTTGGGATCTTAATAAAGTAGGGAATAAGGAAGAGCAACAAAACGTTGAGAGAATATATATATATATATATATATATATACATATCACAAAAGCGTATCTATCTATATATATATAATTGCATGACCTGAATCTGATTCTACCCGTATAAGTCGTACTCTTGTCTTTCTTTTCCTGAGTGTTTAGATTTTTAATTTCCAATGTCTATATTTGATTTGATTAACACGAACACAAACACAAACACAGAGACGTATGTAATATATTCACATAATAACTAAATTATATATCTATATTTTCTTCCAAATCAAAAGAATGAAATTGCAAAACACATAGGGCAGTAATCTCATTTAATTAGCCAGCTAGCCAGCATTGTCTGGGTTAAAAATTATATATTACCCAAATAGAAAAATTAGGCAATAGAAATGATGGAAGCAAGCATGCGTGCTCCAATATACTGTGAATATATGTATGTATGTATGATACATGTAGTCGGGTGTTAATGTATCATTATCATTCTAATATAAAACTTGTATTTTAGTGTAAAAAAGTGAAGTAGAATGTAGAGTTTGTAACGTAGTTGTTGTCAAATGAATCACACACGCACAAAGACAGAGAACAATTTAATACGAAAACCCGATTAATTAACTAATTTTAATAAAAGTCTTACGTTCATTGATGATCAACAAAAACCACATATGCTGGGACTTGTAATTCAGTCTTCATGTGTTTAAAGAAAGAGAGAGAGAGAGAGAGAGAGAGAGAAATTGGGTTGGTCGAAATTTTTGTCAAAAGAATTAGTTGGAAAGAGATGAAAATGGAAAAGTTTGGTTTTTTGTAAAAACTGTGAGAATTATGAAAATGAGACATCTGCACGTAAGTGATCTAACATTATCCGTATAAATGAAAGAAAGAAAGAAAATTTAGGGGCAATTTAGGAAGAGTCTTTATATATATATATATGTATGTATATGTGTGCAAGTTAAAAAAAAAAAAAAGGTAAGAGTAGAAAGAAGAGAAGAAGAATGCATGGGTAATAAATGATTTGGTTGGTACAATGATAAACACAGATGGAAGACATGAATTAAAAGGTTTGGTTAGATATTGCATGTGTGTTTTTCCTTTTTGGCCTCGTGTGCCTGCTCTGATCGGATACCCTCCCCTACCTAACAACTCTCCCTTTTGACTCATTATTAGTTTGGACCGCCCGCCCGCCCGCCCATGCATTGCATTCTTTTAATTTCCGTAATTATTAATTCCTATTTCTACATCTTCCTTAATAATAATAACAACAATTTTTATACAGTGTTATGATTGTTATTATTATGGGTTTTCTTTTTAGGAAATTATTATTATGATTCTAATCAGCTACCTGTTTAAGTGTGTGTGTGTGTGTGTATATATATATATATAGAGAGAGAGAGAGAGAGAGAAAGAGAGAGAAAAGAGTAGTCGGGTATATTTAAAGAGTCAAAGAAGTTATAAGTTTGATATAAATGTTTATCGTAATAATATTTGCATTCAACAAGATATTAAATGCATTTCATTAATAGTAGCCATTAAAAGCTGAGAAATCCATGTACATACATTTATGACTACCATTTCCCAATGAGAGAAAAAGGAACAAGGTGGCGAAAAAGATGACACCATCTTTTTTTGCTTCTTATCTGCACAATTATTAATTCTCTCTCTTTTTTTTTTTTTTTTTTTTTTTGTAATTACTTTTTCTTTTCACACATTTTACATGACAACAACAGGAGCAAACTGAAACAAACCGAGATGGAATGCGAGTACCTGAAGAGGTGGTTCGGGTCGCTGACTGAGCAGAACCGGAGGCTACAAAGAGAGGTGGAGGAGCTGAGGGCCATGAAGGTTGGGCCACCCACCGTCATTTCTCCCCACAGCTGCGAGCCCCTCCCGGCTTCCACTCTCACGATGTGCCCACGTTGCGAGCGTGTTACCTCCACCGCTCCCACCGCTGTACTTGACACCACCGCCAAAGCAGGACCTCCAAGACAATCCTCCTCTGCGGCTTGTTAGTAGACTTAAGTTGACGTGCATGCACCCAATTAATTTCATCACATAAAAACAACAACAACAACAACAACAAAAACGACGGGTTAGCTAGAGAGATCGATTATCAGTGTTCATATATATTAGATAAATGTTTACACAAGGGCTTTACTTTTTAATTAATTCCTAATTATCTTAACATAACTAATGTTTATACTTTAGGAATTTAATCTAATCAATTTAATTATTTTTACTTTTTGCCATTTCTCTGATGATTAAAGAAATTTACTGACGTACAGTTTGTCTCGTGGAATTAATCCAACATCTAATTGTAAATTAATGTATTTACTTTCTAATTGTAAATTAAGCTTAATTAAAATCAAAGAGGAATGTAATGATTTGTTGACTTCCAACTTTTTTCTCTCAGTGAAGTTGATTTGCCAACTTAGATGGCCATCCAATTCCCATGCAATTTAGAGAAAGGTCAAATTTCAACGTCCAGCATTGGATCTCTTCGTGGTACCTTCTGTGATTTATTGTAGAAAATCTAAGACGAATCTGATTTAAGTCAAATTTAGCCAGCTGATCTCTATCGGGATTAACTATTAATTTTCTTCACTGAATATATATTATTATTTAATTCGTTTCAGTACCACGCTGCTTTCAGCTGGCAATTAAGTCCCAACAATATAATTATTTTTTTTTTCCCCTCAGTACTGTACGTACCATCTTACAATATATATATATATATATATATGGGGTGAAAAGTTCCTGTTCAAAATTATTCAACAGAATGTAATTTTTAATATTGACTACATTGATTCACTTCAATTATAAATTGAAACACCAACCGAATCAACTGAATTTGATCAAACCATATATTATAAATTACAAACATTACACATACAATAGATTAAATTATTATAATCAAACTTTCACTAGCTACCCTATATATATATATGTAGACTATTTAAAATCAAGAGGAAACCGGATGCACAGGTAGCATTTTCATGCATCAATTAATTTAAATTTTTAATCACTAATATCTTCTCTTGTAAGTTCTAATTACTAATCATAACACTCCATCCACACTGGGCTTGATTTGTAAATGAGCCTATCGTGACTGTGGGCTTGTCATAAATTCTCTTGTTAGGTTCAGACGACCCAAATCAAGTTCAGTTTGAATTTCAAAGAAAAAGTTTCGTCCATTGAATTTAATCAAAAACTTTAGGAATAAAGGTAAAGCAATGATAACTAATTTGAAAATTAGGAACAAGTATGATGGACCATAAGAGAATTTAGCAAAAGAAAATGATAATGACATATCTAGTATAATATCAGATAACCCAATTGTATGTATTTGTCTTCAAAAAGCAAATTTTCCTGATTAAGACTCGAATTCGAAAAATCAATTCCGTAGCAAATAGCCGTATATGATCTGAGGTAAACGATGACGGAAGGTTTAAGTAAATCAATTACATTACATTACAACATGTCCTTTGTGAAATCATGAGGGATGAGCTATTAGGGTTAAAAGAGAAGGGAAAGGAAAAAGGCAGCGTAGCAGATCATATGAAAAACAGCTAAGAGAAATGTGAGAGAACCAGGAATTGGATCCTGTCCCAGACAACTATATTTGAGTTTTATTATGGCACCGCTTCTTTCAAATTATTAGGTGTGGTGTGTATTCGAGTCAACACCACCTTTAGTTTTCTTTTCAAAAGTTTACTGGCGGACTTATCATTACCCAAACCACAAAATATATATATATATATATATATATATACATGGTACCTCCCTATTACATGAAATATACATCTTAAGATGCGTGTCATGTTAGAAGAAATAAAATCACCAAATTGGGTGGTTAAAAACACTTGGAAATAAATTCACATGGGACTAAAACAATTTTGAGATATAAATAATTATACGTGCGATCACTTAGGTCTCGTCTCAACCCCGATGGTGTCAAAACATGTCTCCATATATTTATTAGTTGAATTTGTGTAAGATTGATAGGAAAAGAAGACATGGGATTGAGCTGTCTTTTTGGAAATCGTTTCTCCTTTTTGAGTAGAAATTAGTGAAAGGTTTATTATAAGAGAAAAATGACAAATGCCAAATGCCAAAGTGATCGTGTGTGAATGAGAATTGACACCCATCTCGAAAGAATGTTTCTTTTCACGTGGTTGGCCATCCGTATATGATTATAAACAACCCCACAAGTTTCTCTTCATTAAAAAAAAAAAAAAAAAATCATATTCTAATCACGTGCGTTAACGAATTAATAGAGTTTATTTAAATTTAATCGAAAAAGGGGTTTTTATATACATTGGAAAAAGCCATTTGGAAGCTTAATTTCTTCAATCACCTATAGGGGAGGGGGGAGGGGGACTTCACTTATTGTAAATTGATTCAAAAATAAAATTAATTTTGGATCCGAAGAAGAAGCCCAATAAGAAGAAGAGCCTAACCCAACAAGTAGCTCTGATTTTGTGGTTAACGAGAGATTTGGTATGGTGTCCGAGAGGAATATTATTTAAAAATCATATTCATTATGTTACACAGACTATTTTCCATGTCAAATCTGGGTGGGGAGGCCCAATGGGCTCACCTCCTCCTACTTAATTAGACGGTGCCAGCTCTTCTCAGCCACTCAAATTTTGGACCACTTTTCAATTTCATTTCTCTCCTTTTTCCTTTTTCCTTTTTTCTCTCCAATTATATCTCTCTTATCCACAACTACTACCCATCAATACTTTGTGCACTTCAAAACCCCATTCTTAACAAAAATAAATTATATATATATATATATATATATTCATTTAAAGTTTAACTTAGATTTTGAAATTTTTTGTGATGCAAAAGGTCAAATATTCATTTTTCTCCAAATGGGTAAAGTGGAATGAGGAGAAATTCAAAGGGTTTAATATTCCATTCTCCTAACATCATACGTACGTGTGACTATAATTAATTTGCCAAGCACAGCCACTTACCTAGGCTGGAGGGGAATATAATATACAGCCATGCCATGATGCTCGAGTCACATTTTCTCAACGTACCACAGTTCATTTACGTTTCTTTTTCTCAGTTGTTCCTGCGGTAGCCAATTATCTTCACTGGGTTTATTGATTTCGTAAGGTAAAATTAACTAAAAAATCAGGGAGACGATGATTAGAAAAATTAATAAATAAATAAAAGAGAGAGAGAGAGTCAAGCTAGAAGTTGAATTAGGGGGGGAAGGGAAGAAAACAAGAAAGAAGATAAGGTTAAGTAGAAAGAGTTTGTAGAGTACACAGAAGTGCACGTGTGTGGTGACCCTCAGTGAGGTTGCATGTGCATGTGGATTATCACGTGTTGTTATGATGGCAACTTTATCAATCTATGTTTGCCTTTACCCCCCACCCCAACTTTTGTGCTTTTCTCTTCCCTGACACGTGGCCGACCATCATTGGCCATAAACCCACTCCCTGCTGTTACTCTCTCTCACTGGAAACCAATTTGATTTGGTGATTGCACACCCAAACAAGGCCTTAGTTTTTTAGTCTTGTAATAATTAGTAACAGGTAAAATCTACTTTGAAAGCATATGTTACGAACAATTAAACTGAAAGAAAACAACTTGGCGCATCATTAATATTAATGATTTGGCTAAATAAGTTGAAGCAAATTAGATCCTAAAACCAGTGTTTATAATGAATGATAATGGATTAGTTTAGGGGGGGGAGGATTTGATGGAGTGGAAAAGGATGATACTTACACACTTTATAATGAATGAATTCAATCATGTAGGGGCAAAGGGGAGTCTGATATTTTAGGTATACGAAGGTGACTGATGCCGAGCTACCTATTACTCTCAATCTTATTTATATTATTCTCTCACTTTATCCCCCTCCCCCCAAAAAAAAAAAAAAAAAAGAAGAAGAAGAAAGACACTGTAATGGGTCACTCCCTTTCATTTTCTTGTACCTGTTTATTTCATTTACATTTTCAACCGGCTGATCCCCAAGATTTTCAACTAACATTATAAACATATGTGATTTTGTAAGCTAATTGAATTAACCCAACTGGGGAAGGGTATACACATACGTGTATGTATAAGAAACAGGTGCATGAACACTCTGATTGCAATTGAAGAATTTGGTATTTTTGATTGATATGTCTTTTGATTCCTTGACCATTCAATTTCTTTGGCAACCTCACTTTGACTTCCTTTTCATTTTTATTTTTGCTCTTTTTCGTTTTTATATCAAGTCTTTTTCAAGGAAACAACTTTTACCCAATATATATATATATATATATATATATATATATATATAGAAGACATGATAATAGGGACTGAAACAGGGGATGATCAATGGAACCAACACCAGTGGTATTTACTAAAATTATTTGTAATTTTTGTTTATTTGATGGTATAAAATATTTTTAAAAAATTATTTGTTACAAATAGAAATAGATAGGAGAATAATTGTATCGTTCCAAAACTCGATATGATGCGTAATTTCTGCTCATGTTATTTTCATGCAATGGACCCGCAAAATATACATATGCACAGCTTAAAATTTATCGTACAATCTACCATCTCATGTGATATATATACATTAATTATATATACAGAACATGATGTTACAATTTAAAATTTAATAAAACAAAATAAAAATTTCTCGAATATGCACAAAATATACAAAATAAGAACCTTTTTTTACAGGTTTTAATCATCTGGCAGCAGTTCTGCCTCTTCTTTCTCATATGAAAAATATCATGGTGAAATTTAATAAATTTCACTAACTCAATAAGTATTTTTGTTCTCTCAATACAGATAAGATTTCATGCAAAACACACAGTATGAACAAGTGCAATAGTGATGTTTCAATGCAAAATTCATTTATTATTTTCACAACTTCACATGTTTCTGATCGAATTTTTAAATTCTCTCGAATATCATATACAATCTCTAAATATATATTCAAATACTCTTGAAAGAATATAGATACACTCGAATATCAATCATTATCTCGAAACATAATCACATACACACGAAAGAACACATATACACTCGAAATATCATTTCTAAGATTTTATTGCGTGATACTGTTTATGTCGTTATTGAGGAGAGGCGAAATGGATCATCAGAGCGGCGTAACATAAGCATGATGGGCCCATAACCCACATATCAGAGGTTGAACCGCTCGCACCGAAGATAAAATCGTTTGTTTCTGTGTTTTGGGTGATGGTTTGGACGATGGTGGAATGGGGTCGGTGTCGAGCTGGCTGCGCGAGCTCAGCCAGGTCACCCACCCACGCGGGAATTAAAGAGCTTTCTTCGAAAGTGGGGAAATTGACCCATCTGTAGAAGGGTCTTCCTTGGGAATGGAGACCAGATTCACCCTTTTGGGATTCTGATTCACCGTTCGGGAAGCTTAAAAGTCTTCATCGAGTGCAAAAATTCGATCCGGCGAACGAAAAGTCGAAAGGTCTTTCCCGAATATAGATCCTGACGTTTTCGGGATTTTTCATCAGGTTGTCATTGAAACTTGTAAATCCAATTAAATTAATTTTGTTTAATATTTAAAATTATATTAATTAATTTATATCGTGGGTACAGAAAAATTTAGACATTCAGACGGATCCGAAAAGACGCATAAGAGTGTAAGTATTTCTAATTCTCAACTAGATTCAGATTTTGAAAATTGCATGTATTTTATTAAATTACGGTATTTTGAAATTTGAACAGATACTAACTCGATTTTCGATGAAGAATATAACTTAAACCTATAACTAGCGAACCTAAGTAATTGGAACTCTGCGAGGAGACAAAACCAGAAATCAGACCCAAAAGACTGACAATTAATTGTACTATGATGAGATATGAATAGAAAAATTAAGAGAAATTCCTAATTAAGTAGAAAGTTAAAAAGAAAAATAAAATAAAATAAAATAAAAAAGAAAATAGTTGTGAAACGATCAGTTAAATAAAATTTCAAAGAAACTATAATAAAAGTTAAATGAATAAGAAATCAAAAATGATGAATTGTGAATAATTAGAGTATAGGCCCTGAATGCCCTTTCATTTAGTCTGAATCGAAGAAGAGAGTGTGTGTGTGGTTAAAATTTAACGGGCATAGTGAACCTGCACATAGATAGAGTCTGAAACTTAATCCAAACGTGGATAGACATTTGTGAGTGTGAGTCAACTAGCAAACGTACCTACTATGATCATTGTAAGATTTGTGTGTGTGCTATCCATGCGATAGAGGGATTTATTTTACTTCTCCACAATGACGACATAAACGACATCGCGCGATAAAATCTTAGAAATGACATTTCGAGTGTATATATGATCTTTCGTATGTATGTGATTATATTTCGAGATGATGATTGATATTCGAATATATTTATGTTCTTTCAAGAGTATTTAAATATACATTTGGGGATTGTATATGACGTTCAAGAGAATTTAGAAATTCGATCAGAAATATGTGAAGTGGTGAAAATAATAGATGAATTTTGCATTGAAACATCACTATTGCATTTGCTCATACAGTGTATTTTGCATGAAATCTTATTTGAATTGAGAGAATGAAAATACTTATTGAATTGGTGAATTTCATTAAATTTCACCAAAATATTTTTCAGATGGGAAAGAAGAGTCAGAATCACTGACAGACGAATAGAATCTGTAAAAAAAATTCATATTTTGTGCATATTCGAGAAATTTTCGTTTTATTTTGTTAAATTCTAAATTTTGATTTCATATTCTATATATGTAATTAATGTGTAATATATCGCATAAAATGATAAATTTTGAGATATAAATACATATATTTTGCGAGCTTCTTTACATAAAAATAAAAATAGCATGAAAAGAACTCAGTATTGAATTTTGGGGGCTTACAATAATTGTCTCACTTAATAATATTAACTTTGACTTGTTTATTTATTTATTTATTTATTTTGGGTGAGTGGGTAGATTAGAGAAGAAGAAAGGCTGCAGTTAATTATTTTGTTGGTAATGTAAGAGGTATTTTGGGTTTAATTGTCAGATGACAAAAGTGTTTGTCCTGGGGACATGACATCCACCATCTGTCTTGTGCTGCTGTAATAACAAAAATATTCCTGCCATAATTATATATATGAAATCACCACCCCATACATTTATACATATATATATATATGATACAATAAATAATTAACTTTGTTTGATTTAATAAATAAATAAATGACATAAATTAATCATAACCACTCAAGAAAAAGAAGAAAAAGAAAAACCCATGATTGGAAGAAACATCACATGCTTTGCTTCCAATAATTAAATTCCAATCAAAATTCACACGTAAATTGAGTCAAAGTTTGTTATTGGTCACAACATTTGGGGTTTTGACATGCAAGAAAAAAATAAAAACCTTTGTTTACTAATAACAAGTTAATAAAAAATTTAGACAAATTAATCAAATTTAAGGGGACGAATTAGTAAATTATAGGAAATTAAATCCTTTTTAAAGCATGGTGCTGAATGAATCTACACTGTCATAAATTTGTTATTAAAGGATATATACATACAGGGGGAACAGTTTATATTACAACCAAATAAGATTATTTTATTAGGTTAAGTCAACCATATCAGGCGGTTAATTCTTTAACTGAAATTTCTTACCATTATTTTCTTTCCTTATTCATGGCCGTCCCCTTCTTCTTCCTTCCACCTTTTCATTACTACACTCCCACTCCCTCCCTCCCTCCCGCTCTCTCTATATATTTCCCTATAAAAGTTACATCTCCTGTAAAATTGTACTCTCCTTTCTCTCTTCTCTCTGCTCCTTGTAATAGCACAAGAAACCATTACTGACGCATATATCTCAAACTAACGGTTTCTCTCCCATTTTGCCCCTTTGTTCCGCTCTCTGATGCCACCGTCTGCCTTCCACTAGATCTTCTTACCACTCCCTCTTATTGTCTTGTAATATCTGATCCCACAGCTGATTTCTCTTCTTCTTGCTTCCGAAAATGATCACTTGGAAGGATCTCTACACAGTTTTGACGGCGGTTATTCCGCTCTACGTGGCGATGATCCTCGCCTACGGTTCCGTCCGGTGGTGGAAGATTTTCTCGCCCGACCAGTGCTCTGGGATCAACCGCTTTGTGGCGATATTTGCTGTCCCCCTGCTCTCCTTTCACTTTATCTCCACCAACGACCCTTACGCCATGAACTTCCGGTTTATTGCAGCAGATACGTTGCAGAAGATAATTATGCTGTTTGTGCTCGCTCTATGGACCAATTTAAGCAGGAATGGAAGCCTGGAGTGGATGATAACCATATTCTCTCTCTCCACGCTTCCAAACACGCTGGTCATGGGCATACCTCTCCTTATCGCCATGTATGGCCAGTACTCTGGTTCTCTCATGGTCCAGATCGTCGTCCTCCAGTGTATCATCTGGTACACCCTCCTGCTCTTCCTCTTCGAGTATCGCGGAGCTAAGATCCTTATCATGGAGCAGTTTCCAGAGACCGCCGCCTCCATCGTTTCCGTCCGAGTCGAATCAGACGTTGTCTCTTTGGACGGCCGAGACTTCTTGGAGACCGACGCGGAGATTGGCCAAGACGGAAAGCTCCATGTAACCGTCCGCAAATCTAATGCCTCGAGACGCTCGCTTGGGCCTTGCTCCCTACCAGCATTGACGCCCAGGCCCTCGAACCTCACCGGCGCTGAGATATACAGCTTGAGTTCGTCCAGGAACCCCACTCCAAGAGGCTCCAATTTCAACAATTCGGACTTCTACTCCATGATGGGCGTTCCTGGATTCCCTGGCCGGCATTCCAACTTCGGCCCTGCAGATTTGTACTCGGTGCAGTCTTCGCGAGGACAAACACCTAGGCCATCAAATTTCGAGGAGAATTGCACAGGGATATCTTCTCCAAGATTTGGGTTCTACCCTGCGACGCAGACTGTACCCACGTCGTACCCGGCTCCAAATCCAGAGTTCTCATCCACTGTTACAACCAAGAACAACAAAACCCAGAAGGAAAACAACCACCCGCAACAGCAACAGCAACAAAACCAGAACCAGAACCAGAACCAGAACAACAAAGCGAACCATGACGCCAAGGAGCTCCATATGTTCGTGTGGAGCTCGAGCGCGTCACCGGTTTCCGACGTAGCAGGGCTCCACGTTTTCGGCGGGAATGATTTCGAGGGGACAGAGCAATCTAGACGGTCCGATCAAGGAGCAAAAGAGATCAGGATGATCGTATCTGATCATGCCCAGAATGGTGAAAGCAAAGGTTGTATTCCAGTCCAATCATTTTCAAATGACGATGAAGATTTAATTATTCGCTAATTAGTTTTTAACGGTATAATTCTTTTTTTTTTAAAAAAATTTAATCTAAAATTAAAAAAAGCTGGCGGGAGCTATTGCAGGGAGCGGTGAGTTCGTCGAGGAGTTTAGCTTTGCCGGGAAAGAAGGAGAAGAAGAGAGAGAGAAGGAAGGAGCAGGTGGACTTAACAAGCTGGGGTCAAGCTCTACGGCTGAGTTGCATCCGAAAGGCAGGGGAGGGGCAGATACCGGCGGCGGAAAACAATTGCCTCCGGCTAGCGTTATGACCCGCCTGATCCTGATCATGGTCTGGCGCAAACTCATCAGGAACCCCAACACATACTCCAGTCTCATTGGGCTTACTTGGTCTCTGATTTCTTTCAGGTAATTAATTAGTTTGAATCTGATTAAGGGCGTTTAAGAAAGAAAAAGACAGTGTTAATAGTATTATTTTTTGACACAGGTGGCATGTGAGTATGCCAAAAATAGTACAGCAGTCGATCTCAATTTTATCAGATGCTGGGCTTGGAATGGCAATGTTCAGTCTAGGTGCGTGAAAAATGCATTGCACACTGCTTGTTTATGTGTTTTATTTTATACAAGAGGTGTATTAGCTAGTAATAGAAGTCATGAAAATCCGGGTCAACCCCCTTTTAAAAGTCACAAGGAATTGGAGGTGGGCTATCATCTTTCGGAGTTATAAAGGAGATGAGGAGTGATTCACCACCCGACAGGTGGGACCGCCTGACGACGTCGTTTGCGGTCCAGAGTCGGTGGATAGATGCTGTAATGGTCCATTTTTGGTGAAGGTAGTTGGAACTTGGGGTTGAAAAAGATTAGCCTTTTAGGTGTTTTTCCAAGTGTCAATAGTGTAAAAAAAAAAAAAAAACAAACTTACTTTTATCACCTACTGACTCTGGTTCTTATGTATTAATTATATTGAAAATTAAGGTTTGTTCATGGCCCTGCAACCCAAGATTATCGCCTGCGGCAACTCTGTGGCTGCATTTGCCATGGCTGTCAGGTTCCTCACCGGCCCAGCAGTCATGGCTGCGGCTTCAATTGCTGTTGGTTTGCGCGGCACTCTCCTC